GGGAGAGATTTTTGTTTTATACATGTGAAGTTACACGAAAGATTGACGACCCCCGCGCAGAAGCGGCTGCCCAAGCCCGCCCCAGACGCGGTGGCGCCGCCAGCGCGTGGTGAGACCACACGCTAGCAGCCGGAGCGAGGCCCACCGCCCCTCAAGGACTTACGAGGAAGCCCCGCCCCCGCGGGGGGGCCGTGAGTAGTGATCATCGATTGCGGGACCGTAAGCAAGGCCATATCGGCCCTGCTCACGCCCCTCGCGCATGTCGCGCGTTGGGCTCCCTCGCACATGGCCACAGCTCACCTGTTAATATCTAGGTTGCACGCAGGTGCTCGGCACCTCGCTACCCCCGTGTAACCGACTGTCTATAAAAAGAATATAAAAAAGGCTGCGGCCGCGGGGAAACCCGGGCTTTGTCGTGCATGGGGCGCCCCTTTCGGCTCGGCCTGCTGTGCATGGGGCGGAGGGGGTGTCACCGCTGCCGTGCGTGCTTGTGCCCATGCAATCACCATAGTCACAGCTCACTCTCAGTTGGCATTTCACGGCGTTCGCGCCTAGTATACAGTCCCCCAGCGGGGCCGGGCTTGGGCAGCCGCGTCTGCGCGGGTGTCGTCAATTTGTCGTGTAACTTCACATGCATATAAAAAAATTGGCCAAGGGTTTCTGCATGGGTGGGTGGTGCGCGCCCCATGGCCGCGAGTCGCTGCGGCCATGTGCGTTCTGCAGGATGGCGCGCCCCCAGCCTGTTTCCCGTAGAATCCCTCGGGGACGTGAAATCAATCCCTCGGGAACCCTTCGGCAAGCATGCATTTTGTAAAAAATTTCACGCGTTTCCCATCCCTCCGGGATCCTTCGGGGCTGCCGTGCTGGCCTGGCCGCCTTGCGGTCAACAACGGGTATAGTGACACATAATGTGCGTATATATGTTGGTTTTCTGCCACAGCTGACCTGAGGCACAGTGTCGACCTGCTTTGCTGCACCGCAAAGCAGACACTGTTCCGCCTCTGCACCGGTCAGTATCCTGTGTGTTAAACCTTACTTGTGTGTTGTATGAGGGCATAAACATGCAATATATACTCCTCAAAGAGTGTCTCCTTGCAGCTTCACCATAGCTGAGGTAGTGTGATGGTCAAGCAAATTGGCTTCTCTGCATGCTTCTCAGCAGCAGCTCCGCAGTGAGTCGGGCTGGACCAGACCAGCGTGAGCCAAAACCTACACTCCCACGCAGCCCACACACGATGAGCAATCTGCCAATGACCATCAAATCGGCCAGGCTATCTCAAGCCTTAACAACATAGCATTGCTGCATGCATCCCATGCATGTGCAGACAAGTCAGCAGCGTTCAAACAGCTGCAAAGCTTCCACGGAGTCGTTAGCTCCGCAAATGACGTAGGTGCTCCCACGGGGTCCCAAATCCAGGCCCCCGTACCGCGTTTCAAACACGCGCCGCATCTTGACCGATGCCGCCGTACGCCTTGCCGGCGTCACGCTGAACCAGCGTCATTTTGCACTTGACCGTGCAAAACCACAACGTGCTGTGCCGCAGCACGAACTGCTTGTAGCAGTGGCTTCTTGACCGATGCCACTCACGACTTGTTGTCGCCTGACTGTTGTCCTGGGTCCTTGACCTTAGAGCACAAAGCTTTGGTTCTTGGGGCAGTCACGCTTGACGTGGCCAGGCTTGTTGCACTTCCAGCAGAGCCTGGTGTCGTCGTCGTTGCTGTAGGCGTCGCCATAGCCGTTGTCATTGCCGTTGCCGTTGCCGTTGCCGTTGCCGTTGCCGTTGCCGTTGCCGTTGCCGTTGCCGTTGCCGTTGCTGTTGCCGTTGCCGTTGCCGTTGCCG